GCGCTGACAGTATGCGCTTTTACAACACTTTCTGTGCGCTTTGCAGACACTGTTATACGACATGGAAAGTGCAGTAAATGTGCTATAAAACTGTATTTATTTTGCGCTGATTATATGCGCTTATAATGCGCTTTTCATAGTGGATTTTGAAAGCGCTTTTAAAGCGCTAAAAAACTGCTAAAGTAATGCGACTGCATACGCGCTTTTTTAACGCTTTTTAAGCGCTAGTGTGCTACGTGGGGATGTATCAAAGTAAGTATACATAATTGTATAACATTATAAACATGAAAATGGCATTGTAAGAGTCAAACGAAAAGAAAATTAACAACAAATTAATACATATATTCTAAATTAATGAACTTATAAAATTAACATAAATGTAACGATTAAATAACAGATGTTAATTACATAACTAGTTTCGACCACCAAATCTGGTCCTCTTCAGATGAAACACTTTACGTTGAAATGTACAAAATTATGGAAAAACATCAATACATAAGTAAATCCTGTGCGTAGTTAAATATATAACTGAAAAAACAATAGAATGAACATATATTAATTAAAGGATTGTAATCTTAAATTCTAAGAATGAAAAATAACGATGCGCAAAACATACCAAAAAATTTACAAATCTATACGTGAAAATATTAATTGGTCCGTGTATCCATATATTTACAAAAATAGTCATAATGATAAAAGTCACACAATAAGAAAACAGTAAAAAAATTTTTTCTTTAAAAAACTTATGTCAGAAATATTCCAAAAACTGTCGAAGTACATCTTGAGATAAAAAATTATACATGGAAAACTATACATGGAACACATCAAACATCCTCAACGGACCAATTCCAACTAAATAATGAACGGCAACAACTGATACAGAAAGATCAAATTTTGTTTACAATGGGTATATATGCTTCATGAAGACCTTCCGTGTCGGTTTGTAAGTTTAGGCTAAGTTTCTGTTTTTTAATATTTAACATTTCTGAGACCAATCGCTTCCTGTAACAAGGTTCCTCATCAAGAATTTTAACATCGTCCCACCGAAAGTCATGATTATACTCCAATCTGTGATCAGTTATTACCGATCTGGTAGAACTATTATGATTTATATTATTACGGTGTTCTTTAATTCTTGTTTTTAACTGTCTGCTGTTTTGACCCACATAAAAAACTTCGCAATCGTTACATTGAATTTTATAAACGACGTTACTCTTAGATGTGTGGAGACGTGAGTCCTTTTGCACCTAATAATTGTATAATGTACATATATTATTATTAACTGTATAAGTTAATAATAGTAAAGGTTAAATAGTAAAGGTTAATAGTAAAGATTAAATAGAAATATATTTAAAATAATATATTTCTATTTAACCTTTTCTTTTTTCTGTTTCAGCACTAACGAAATAGCAACCGAGACTGCCGTCAACATTGCCAGGATTGACAAACACAACAATAAAAATCATGGGAAGATGGTACAAAAAAAAAGTACAAAAAATAGTACAAAAAAGTACAAAAAATAGTACAAAAAATTTGTTAGGAACTTATAAAATATATATTATTAAATATTTTTCATTATTTTTACAGTGCATATTCTTTGGCATTGCCATGATCTGGTTTGTTAGCCTAACAATCAATCTGGGACCCATCTTTATTAACGGTGCATTTTTATCAATTAATATGGAAAATAGTTATTACAAGCATGAACCCATGTCTGTGTGCTCCCCTTCTGCCCGAAAATGAGCACACGGACATGAGCTTGTATTTATGTGTATTGGGTCTTCTACAATAAGTCATAAGTCATAAATCGGAAGTAAAAAACTAAAAATCGACGACTGTGATTGGTCCATTTCTAGCTTATGACTTATGATTTGTGACTTACGGCTTATTGTAGAAGGCCCAATAAGTTGATTTTAAAAATGACCTAATATAAAAACGTACCATAGACGTCTAGAAATTGACGTTATTATTACATCAGAATATTCACGTTTTTTAAACGTCAATTATTGGGCACATGATGTCTGTGACCAATAATCACCATTTATCGACGTGAATATCACGTGACGTTGCTGCCTGGGTATTATGTTCCCAGTTGTCCATTAATACATGGACATTTTAATAATTATATTATTAATGTTTGCTGGGTTGCCACAAACATTGCATTAATGTTAACTTACTTTCCTTTAAGTAAGTTACACAAAAAATTAACAACAATTAATTGATCGCAAAATGGTAAGCAGCGATATCAATTATATGTACATATATAAATATAAAGTCTATACGTTATTAATTACAATTTATGTATAAATAAAAAGAAATATATATATATATATACGTTTACACGTGATAAATATAATTTTTGTTCCTATGATGTATAACTTATCACAAAAGTAATATATACAAATATTACAATACATATATATATATATATTGCTTTTAATTTTATTTAATTATTGTTCTAAATTGTTTTAATTTGATAAATTTCTTTTATATTTACATAACATCATTTTTATCTTTAGGTACGATCAAGTTTTATGTTAATAATGGGTGATGTAAAGGAAGCCTGTCGATATGGATTAATTAAAAAGGATGAACGAAGCGATATCGTGCTACATGTAAGTCAATTACGTATATATATATATATATATATATATCTGTATAAATGCCGCTCGAATGCTCTTAACAGCTGTGCGCAGGAATTCAAGCGCAGGTATACAAACCCGATATTCGGACACACATACATAATACACACAATTAACATACGATTGAATGTGTGTATATGAAAGGTCAATCTTGAATCATGACATTCATATTAGGAGTAAAGCAGATACAACTTTATTAGTTATGATAGAAATGTTATCAAATCACGCCAGTGCTTCTGATATAACCTTATACAACTGTATTGATTATGATATAAAGTTGTCGAATTTTCTATAATATCTAATACCGTTCTATCCATTCTTTTGAGCAGGGAAGATTGCAACTGCGGCAAAACAGAGTTATATATCAAATACACAATTTTCAACACACACACACACACACAATAATTCATAATTTATTTTTCAGGTGAAAACATATCAAGATGTTGGGATTTATTATTTGTCTAATTTATTTTATTGCTTATTTCACTGTACATTATTTTGTCCTTGTATGGTTTGTTCGCGTTATTGGAGCATGTTAGAGCGTGCGACGCGAACAAACCTTATAATTATTTATACATATATATAATTTACACGATTTATTAAAATATATATATATATATTGTAATAAATCGTGTTCGTTTATTTTATTTTATTTTTTTTATATTACTCCGTTCTTGATCACCGATCCGACGCAAATACTCCTCCTGCCGACACGCATAGTCGAATATCAGGAACGTAGGCAACAACGATTACCATAATCTTGGGTAAGTTATTTTTTTTTTAACTATAAGTTAAGGGCGTTCGGTTATTACGGATCACAGATTGCAATATGATCATGACTTTCAATAATTATATTTCTAATTATTTTTTATATGTAAAAATTTCTCAATTCTATATTTATCAATGATGACTCTCGAATTTGCCTTTTACTTTATCCTTATTATTATTTTGACATCGAGAGCTTTGTTTATTATTATTTATTTTTTATATAATTTTCGTGTTTATATAAACATCAATATGATATGGATTTAAATTTTATAGATTTTAAATCGACAACGTGGTACAGATTTTGAAATTCATAGTATTGAATTTACATGTTAGTGTTTATATATCAGCCCGCCCTTTTGGAGTATAAATACGAGAAGACTCAGTAGTCTCCGTTTAAGTTCGGTAAAGGGGGGGTTTTTAGTTGGTAGGCGGATGTCTAGTAGATGATGGTGAAGGTTGAGTTGGGTTGTAATCGGAAACCCCGAAGTGTGAACCCGTATCCCGATGGAGGAGCCGAACCCTAACGAGGATTCATCTCAAAGAGTGGCTCGTGCTTCCGCGGGTAATCGGGCTTCCTGAACTCAGCTGGATTTGCATCCCTAGAGCATCTGAATCCAACACACCCAGGAGACCCGGGTCCTGGGCGTCTTCCCTGGTTGTGATGGTGTATCTCGAGGACGAGTCCCCAATCAGGGCCGAAATCGAAACACCGGATTGGTTAGGGCGAAGTGAAGATTTTCCCCTCCGACGAGAAACAAAAAAAAAAAAACTACCGCCATCTTACTGCCACCATCTTAAGCTGAAATTAAATAATCCGCAACTAATAATAAACTCAATAAGTAATAACTAAATGTTTATCTTTATATCAAAACATATACTTATTTGAAAAAAATGTTGCTAAAATTATTCCACGTTTTGAAATATTTTTCAATAAAATTTCAAATCAATTTCAATAATTTTTTGGTATGTTAGTAGAAAAAATTCATTTTCGCAGTGAAATTTTAGCAAATTTTCAGCAATCTCGCTGAATTGTTCCAAAACTTAGAATATAATTTCAATCAAATTTTTTCATTTGAGAAAATTTCACTTGAAAAATGGTTTTTGCAAGACAATTGTATTCTATATTTTGTATTTCAGTAAGCCCATGAAAATGTTTTGTATTTTATATTTTATGGGATTATATAAAAATATTTTATGTATACATATATATATTACATGTACTTCTATACTAGCGGGATTCTCTAACTTCCTATCGACGATTGTCGCTATCGTTAATTATCAATTTTTATCACTTGCGCTATCGACCATATCGATACGGCGTGACTCTGTAACTTTACCTTAACGATATTTATCGATGCAAAATCGTTACAGATGTATCGATAAAATTCGGTAGCGATTTGGTAAATTTGACAACATCGCAATTTTTTTTTTAGTAAAAATCTAGTAATTTTCAGTAGAATTTACGAACAAGGATGTATTTAAATGGAGCTAAAGTGTGTTTTCTTTATTCCAAAAAGTTTATGGCTATGTGATGTAACTTTCAAACTTTCTAAGTTTCCACTATTTAATTTTAAAGTATTGTATTTTTATCATTATATTGTCCGATATTTTTATTAAAAGAACGGAAATCATGGCCAAAAATGTGACAGTGTAAGTATTTATTTGAATTATGTTTTAGAAATAGAAATTATGACAAAATATCCATAGGTAATAGAAGAATATTATTGAACTCGTAAAAATTTGATTGGAAAAAATTAAAGAAATACTTGAGAGTACATCTAATATTGTACACTATTCGTTCTAATAGATTTGCAATAATCCAATAATATTTTTCCACTAGAGAAAAATATGAAGCAATTGTTATATTATATGCTTTATAATTTTACAGCAAGAAAACACGAAGTTCCCGGACAACACCATTGCAGTATACAAAAATGTTGGACTTCTTTTACTTAAACAAAGGTCTTGCGGAAGGGAAATTTAATTCATTACATAGAAAAGAAGAGACACAAAGAAAGTGGACAAAACTAGCTGCAGAATTGAATAATGTTCAAGGAGCGACGAAAACTGCCGAACAATGGCAAGTGGTACGTATGTAATATATTCATAGCTGTGTTTTGCGGACTATCTCCGGCATTCTCCGCGTATAAATCTATTAGAATTCTAATATTGTAAACATATTGCAGTTCATAAAACGTTCATATTTTAACAATGGGTGCTTTCCAATTGATGACTCAAGTCGACACAAGTATCGTTCTATCTTTCTTGACATTTAGAGATTGACAAAGATAGAACGACACTTGTGTCGATTTGTGTCATCAATTGGAAAGCACCCACTGTCAAGCGGATTTTGATGCTTAATAATGTTTACGTAAATCTTGCAATTTTCAGTCAAATACACGCTGTGCGCCAAATTATATTTATGAATCTTGAAACTCACTTATAACTGAGTTCTATACTGTGTTTAAAAACTGACAAATATTTGACACGCTTGTTATTTGAACTAGAAATTACAAGGATTTACGTAAAAATATTAAATATAAAGATTCGTTGGTTCAAAGGTGGTGATTCCACGGTCACAAAGTAATGTCCTTTATTTGATAGGATATGAGTGTCATGTATTATGAACTGTTGAAATCGAACGAAACAATCACCTCCGAGTGCTATCGACAACAATTGGAGCGTTTAAATGATAATTTAATGCAAAAATGATCATCAATTGTATCAAATCGTCGAAAGATGATTCTTCTGCTGACCATATCCATGATAACGCTCGACCCCATGCTGCTATAGTGAAATAAACACTGATGGACCTCGAATGGGAGGTTCTTCCGCACCCAGCGTACTCTCTGGACTTCGTACCAAGCGATTATCATCTGTTCATACACACTTCCGTAATTATAGCGAAGTCGAAAATTACTGAATGGATTGACTCAAAAGACAGATCATTCTTTCGTCGCGGAATTCAACTTTTGCCAGAAAAATGGCAAAAAGTCGTAGCTTCCGAGGAAAAATACTTTGATTGAGATATTCATATATTTTATTATTGAATGCTCAAATACAAAAAAAATAGCGACTTTTAATGCAATCTCTAATATATTTTATCAGTCTTATTCCTTAATCAAACGTTGTAAACACATTTTATAAGTTATTGTGTCATTTTACGTTTTATTTATAAGAATTTGTAAATTTTTTGTGAGCTGTACATACCTCCCCCGTCTTCTTTAAGAGTAGCCGCATAATCCATCTCATGGCAAAAATACAAGGATTTCAAAAAGTTCTTTTTCTAATACAAAAAAATAAGTATTTTAGATTTCTAATATTTTTTTTTGTAGTAGTAGACAGTACAAAGTTTTTACTGATATAGTTTGTTTACCTTAAACATAATAAATAATTATTATGTTAATAATCTGTAATTATTATAGTTTGTTTACCTTTGTTAGAAATAATTTCCACAGTCGATAAGTTGCGCTATTAAGTTACTCCTACGCGGCGCTGTGGTGATAGAAACTTCTAGAAAAGCAAGGAGACGTTATTAGAACTCGCACGTTTAAATTTAGAAGCTTAGAAGCACTCGTTGCATGTTGCGTTCGATAAAATTTTATACTTGTTTTATACTGACGACCTATGTTAGTTGTTAGTCCGATACTTTGTATTAATTAATATAATAAAGCTCAGTGTTTTCTAAAAACAATTCCTTTGGACGCAATACCATTAAAAGTCTACAACCTTAAACATAATAAATAATTATTATGTTATTATTATGTATAATAATAATAATAATTATTATTATTATTATTATTATTTATTATTTACTTAATAAATTAAGTTCTTGTTAAGTGCGGTGTATACCGGAGTTACTCTAATATTTTATTATTTTTATGCACTTTAGCGTTAATATAAGCCTTATTACAAAAACTCCTTTTCTAAGAGTGCAGTTATCAATTTCAAACTTTCCACAAACATATATATTATTGGCATGCATTAGTTTTAGTTTGTTTTCATGCGCACCAAGCAAATTAATTTAATTTAAAACTACAGATAGTTGCCACATGGAATAGCAAGTCATGACTAGAAGACTATTTGTTAGCTATGAAGTAATAACGACGCTTTCGGTCATCATTTATGACTTTCTAGAAATTATAAGAACATTATAAAGTAATTTCTAACGTACATATTATCATTTAGCACATCTAAAGTGGATACTACGCAAACCAGAAAGCATCAATATTACATTTGATATGTAATAATCTTGAGTTTTAATGTGATCTTTATCGTAATTTTTAGTATTAAAATATCGCTGTGTACGCAGTATATGCGATTAAAAGTATATGGTTATCCATATAAATTTTTTTATCATAATTTATGATAATACTTGAAAATAATAATATTTAAATTTGTAATAAATTGAACTTTATTGTTACATAAATTTTATACATTAAATATATTATTAAATTGTACTATGCGCATTTTATAAGTATATATTTATATTTCAATGAAAACTATATGTAATTTAAAAAATTAATGTTAAAAAATCATGTTATTATGCAAAATGGATAGTATTATTGGTTGCTGTAATTTAATTACATACTTTAAGGGACATTGCACCGATTCCTTTGATCTTGATATATGTTGTCAAAATTATGATCCTGAGTAATCTCTAACAGATTTTAGATAAAGATCATTTTTTGTTAAAAAGTTATTAACAAAAAAGTTTAAAAGTTTAATACATGGGGGAGAATGTCTTAAATTGAACCGTGTTCTAAATCGGATCTTTTTAATTTAAATAAATACGGTTAAGCAGATTTTTGTGTGCGTGCTATTTATAATGTAAAGTCCTTATAGGATACCGAACATGAGACACACAGCACTTTTGCAGTACTCTGTCATAACGTTTATTGAATATACGTAAATATGTATTTTCTGCTATTATGCGAAAATTTTTTTAAAAAAGAAAATCCTTGTTTAAATGTAAATCATTATTCAAAAGAATTTAAGAATGTTAAGAATTTGAACGGTAATTGATTTAAGATAATTAAAGAGTGTAGAATTCAAAAATATCAAGAATTTTGCGGTTTATTGTAAAATTTGTTCCAATAGTTCGAAAGAACCCGTGTCCAAATCGGACCTATACAAAAAAAAGAGCATCAATTAATTATTAAATTGTTAATCAATTTAATTCGTGATAGTACTGCGGTAGTTTATTAGAGTTGCGTTTCAAGACCGACAATTGTTCGGCGTGCAGTTTAGAAAGACTACATATATTAGTATATAAATTCACGCGAAAATTATATACAAGCAATTAAGATCCAAGCTAAACTGTTATAGGCTTCGTATTCGTATTAGTTATGTTGTTACATTGACGGTCTTTAGAATTGAATATCGTAATAATTTAATTGTCTAATGTATTATTTTTAATTGTCTAAAAAAAAGATTTTTCTCTCTTTTTCTTCAATTACTATAATATATATATTTGCTTTTAATTAAGTCATTTGGATATTGCTTTCAGTGTTTCCATCGTAAGAATGTGCCATAATCATAAATTGTGCCAAAATTAATATGTATGTTGTAACGCTACCAATCATCTGAAAATAAAGAAAAAAAATAATATTTATTTTATTAAGGTAAATGATTTATTACTTACCGCAGCAAGAAACGTCGCGTTTATAGAAAGACCTTTCGTGGAAAGTATATTTTTACAATGCATTATTTGCAAAGAAAATAAGTACAACTGTAATATTAGATCGTGAAATCAAGAATTAGGAAATATAATTATACGAGTTAAGTAGATTTATTGTATATAAAATTACACACATCAGTACAGGATATTTTTATAACAGAAAATATATACCATTACATTTTGCCTACCTCTTCTTTGATTTGCTCATTACTGGTGCAGTTAAGTACATCATGAATAGTGGTACTGATCTCTACTGCTTGATTTTTGTTGGTTTCACAAATCCATACTATCAGTATTATTTTTAAAACTACGTATCCTATAGACATTAGAAAGTACACGTCACTAATCTCATCATCCAGAATGAAGGAGAGTCCATCTTGCCAGTTTATTAGATGTTTATACAATTCAAAAGTAATTTTAGTAAAAGTCAAGGCTAAAGTAGCAAGAAGCTGTGGACTAAAAATTATGTTTAGCATTTTCACTGTATTGCAGAGTGATAAATGCTGTTTTTTTAGGATTCTAAGTTCTATTAACAGGAACTGACTTCTTTGCATGTGGTAAATTAAACTAGGAACACAAAGCTTTATATTGTTCACCATAATCCTTTGCATATGCACCAGATTGTCGTTGATTCTCTTGAAACAATCCTTCAATATATAAACGCAATTCATATATTGCATATCCATATGAAAAACCACCAGAGACATGTATGTTGATAATACACAGACAATAGAATAGCCACATTTTATTTTGTAATAATACATGCCTGCGTGTATAATTAAAAAAGAAGTACCCAAGATATCCTTTGTATGGATCCATCTACACAGTTTCTGATACGATTTCGGAGGTAGATACGAAGAATTCTCCAGCATGGCACGTAGCAAGCGTAATCTTGGACTGTTTAAAATGTACGTAACAATTGTTATGAAACCGCCGGTTGTAAAGAAAGAGATAATCTCAAGAGTTCTTATTACGCTTCCAAAGGTGACTGTTCCACTAATAATAATTTTATGGAGACATATCAGATCGATAATGCAGACGACACAGATAAAAAGAGTCGATAAAATGTGATGCTGTCTAGAAGTCTCGAAAGTCAAAGCATTGATTTTATACGGAAATAATCCGAGGATACGGCAAAAGACAAAATTAGGGTACATCAAAGACTGAAAGTCTGTGGCATGAAATAGCTGCCACTTTTTCCACATATTTTATCCTCGATTTATTTTTGGAATAATGAGCTGAACATCGTCAAGAGAGAGAGAGAGGGAGGGGGAGAGGGAGAGGGAGAGAGAGAGAGAGAAGTATTATGAAGAATAGTTTAAGTGGTAAGTGACAGTCTAAGATTTTTTTTAAATCACATTATCCATACATTTTAGAATTTATGTAAGCTTGCGAAAACTCAGTTATAATAAACATTTAATGCATACAACATTATATGTTCATCCGATGTATACTCCTTAGTGTCAATTTATACTTAACGATTTTCAGTTTAAAACAGCAAGTAATTGCTAAGTCAAATAGCTAGACGGAACTGAAGAAGTCGTGCGAGGCATAGAATATCATAGCACTCTTTGATCGGCAAATATCATTAAAAATGCCACATATAAAGTAATGATGTAAAGTTGTTATTACATGCAAATTTATATATGAGCAGATAATGACAGCAAACATTGAATGCATTGCGTTTATATGCATTAAAATTTTTTTTAATTTACTGTAATATAACGACTTAATCCTAAATTTCATAAAGAATATTTTTATGCTGTGATTTATAATAGATATATTTAATCTTTTATTTTATACAATATATGAAAAAATGTAATTTATTATGAGTGTGTTACTTTTAAATTTATTATAAAATATTACTTCCTTAATTTATTATAAAATATTGATAATCATATTTTATACAAATAAAAAAATATTATTATCATTTACATTATTATTGCCATTTAATTTTTTATTTTAATTTGTATAGACAAATATATAGTGCAGTTATAGAAGGTTTTTGCGTATTTGTTAGAAGATAATAACTTATATCTGATTTGTACATAATTTTGTATAAAAAACTTGTAAAACTGCGTTATTTATATTTTTAAAAACAATTATATTATCGTGAAATTTCGAAAATGAGAAAAACACTTTACAATCTTGCAAGCAAACTAATAGAAAAAAAATTCCGTGGATCATTTGTGTGATAGATTA